AATATTAATAATGCATCAGCATCAGCAACAAAAAGCAACAACAACAATAAAGGAATTATTTTTCGCATTGACTTCACAGGAACTAATTTCTGTTTGATGATTCGTACTCGCCAGAGTTTTTTTAAAAATAAACAAACGTTAAAAAAAAAAAAGAAACTCCAAATTAATATTAAGGCCATCGAAACTAGAAGAGCAAAATAAGAGCTTTGAATCCAGGATCAGCCAAGCATCGCAATCACGAAGGCCTAAGGAGAAACAATTTCCACTTGGAATCCTACCAAAAATTGCAGGCATGTTGTACAACGGCGCCTTTTGTCCCACCCTTTGCTGCAGTCAAGGCCCCCGCTTCCACACCTGGCAGGTGCGCTTTGTTCTCCTTCCCCCACCCACCGGCAGCACGACCTTAAGCGGGCTATGAATGCTGCGGAAGCGCACTCCCGCCGATTAGCTTGTGATCTATCCCTTCCTGCGCCACCCCGTCAGCTACTAATATCTCTGTTTAGGCAACAAAGACGGAAATTCAGACTGCGGGATACTACACAGATAGGATAGAATTGCAAAATATGTGCCAAAATTTTAAGATGAGATGATTACGGTGGCATGCATAAGTTTTTACTTCTTCAGCTTCCTCAACATAAATCCACGGTGCTACTTAAAAAGAAAGTACCAGTAAAACTGCTAAAAAGTAAGTGCCGGAAAAGAAATACCAGTAAAATATTGCAGCAACAGCAAAAGTCAAATTTAGGAATTATAGTAGAATGTGAGGTCAAACTAAGTAATAAAAAGTCATCTTGCTGGTGAAAATTTTTGCTGAAAGAGTCTAGCTTCTTTATACTGGAATGAATAGAAAACGGCCTCATATATAAGGTGACCCCGCAAATTGAAATCTCTAGCGCAGGCCCTCTGAAACGATTACCTTTGAAAGTGACTAGCATTTCTTCGAACTTAATAAATATCTATATTAAGCATCAAGTTAAAAGTTTCAAAATGGCATTATAAGGGGTCTTATATTTTGGTTAATATGGATTTATTTATTTATCTTGTCGGCATTAATACTAACATTAAATTATCAATTTATTATGATTTATTTGCAAGAACGCTAAAGTAGTAACTAAGACGTGTACGCCACTAAAAATGACCACTGATCCTAAGATTTTATTTAATGGTGGATCCTCACATCGTTATTGCCATCCTGGCAGACGTTATCTACTACTCGCTTATTCCAGTCTTGAGTAGAGCCAGCAGAGCAGACGGTAGTCTACACAATAGTTAGTCACGGATAGTATTTGTATGCAAATTTTGTTTTACAGTCATACTGTTGGACAATAGCATCGTAAGTTGGTTTATAAGAGATGACATTTTTCATGAAATTTATTAAACTTACAAGTGTTTTATGCATAAAAATATTTCACATTAATTCTAATATACTACACAAGTAAATATCGTAATTAAATCAAACTAAGGCAATTGTATTTACACACAAATATAATAAAGTTAATTACGCATAACTATGTTGAGCGTTGCGCGCAGGATACGATAAGGAGTAGAGTAATACAGTTAATATCAGCAAATACTCATATCAGAAAAGTACATTTTAAAAAAGATATTTACACATTTTTGCGATTATTATACGATAAGGAATAGAGTAATACAGTTAATATCAGCAAATACTCATATCAGAAAAGTACATTTTTAAAAAGATATTTAAACATTTTTGCGATTATTATAAGCTTAATTCCCCGTCCGGTCAAAGCGATGTTTGGCAGAACCTACATTTCCACAGGTAAAAGCTACTGAAAAATAAATCTGTACTCGCCTGGCTATATTATGGACATTTGTGAATTTCTTTCCTTATGAACTAATGACTTACAGTACAACCTAGTGGAATTTTGTTTAAACATTTAATTATTCTTTCAAAAAATGTCTGAAAGCTTGTTCTGCCCCAATATTTTTTGACTCACTGTACAGGTTTTCACAAATAAAAAAAAAAAAATAAAATAAATAAATAAAATAAACTTCTTTACTGAGTTAAATATATGAAAACAAGAATATGAACAAACATAAAAAATATTTAAATTTAACGTTACATTAAACATAAAAAATATAAGAAAATGGACACCCTGAAAAAAGGCACAAAATACGTGGTAGCTTAAAAATAATAATAATAAATTCGTTTAAGTGAGAAAAGCTTTTAAGTTGGACACCTTAAACGCAGATAATTTATTAGAAAAACGCTTGACGTTAGAGACCTTAACTTTTTTTTATATATGATGTTCGCTCTTTATGTTCATCTTTAACACTCCTAAAATGAATAATATTTAATCGTGAATCTACCTATTGGAAACACATGTATGTCACGACAGATTATAATGTTTTAATCATATTAAGAATATATACTAAATATTACATGGATTTATTATTTTAATTGGAAAGATAATTCCTCACTTTGTCTCACGTCTGCTGAAGGCATGGGTCGAAAAAGAGGACGGCATGTCAAAGGAAATGCATTAATTTCACTGCAGGATGAGCATCCGTGACTGGAGTGGAAACGTCCGCAATATTATTTACACACAGGGCTTAATTAAAATGAAACCTAACGCGCATGCTCACTCCTGGTTATTGCATACATCCAGCGAATGTCTCGGCGCATATTAAAAAAAAAAAAAAAAAAAAAAAAGCATAATGGTCAACGATAAAATTAAGAATTCGGAACACTACTCACTCATCGTATATCTACAGAACCCAAAAGATAACACTGACACTGTTTATTTCAAATAATAAAATACAAGGTGAGGCATAAAAAGACGACAGTTTCTTTAATAAAAATATTAACTTCAATTAAATTTATTTTTAAAAAGACGCCAGTGATCTAACAATTTGCAACAGTTCTTTAGGTCATCGAAACATTATATACTGTTCATATACACCTGGATTTTTGTCGTAAATATGCGAACATTGATTACTATCCAAGACGTTTCAAATTAGTCCGTTATGGTCTCTAAGCTTCGGGGGGGGGGGAAGGGGTAATCAGCTCTCCAAGATAAGAATAGATGGGTGATTTAGCTCTGCAATTGGATGCTTGGCATTACACTGTTTTATGACAATGTTGTACGAGGCCTAGCATTATAGTGTTAAAAAAAAAAAAAAAAAAATCCAATCAAAAAAAATTATAACCGCCTATCCGCTTTTTGATCGAAAAGCACCTTCTTGTAAAAATATTGATTAATTGATTGATTTTTAGGGACAAACTTGGTTTGAATAAACCCTTTGTAATCAAAAATTGCAATCAGCATCACCTTAATCTTTGATTTCGACATCTGTGCTTTTTTTTTTTTTTTTTTTAAATATAAGAGAAGACGGTCCTTTCCACTATGCATTTTTGTCTTCTTGTTTCTGAGTCGTATTGCTGACATTTCTCACTATGATACACTCTAAGAAGCTGTTGACCTATCTCGCAGTAGTCAGCAAATATTCACGGCAAGTTTTTCTTTTTTCCTCGTTTTTGTCAAAATCTGAGGCACAAATCTAGCTAAACTTTCCTTAACTTCAGATTTTCAATTAAAATTAACCTACAGCTTTCTTTGCTTATCCCAATCATGTCTGGAAGTTGATGAGTTGTTAAACGTCTGTCAGCTTTTACCAAAGAACGAATTTTTTTTCACATTTTCCTCATTCCCTGAAGTTGAAAGGCGCCTTATCTTTTTGGTTCATCTTCAACGCTTTTGCGCCTGCATTTAAAGAGGTTGTACCGCTCATACGCTTGTGTTCTTGAATAACGATGCATTACCATCATCTCTAACGTTTCGATAGCAGATTTACCTAATTTGTCACTGACTTTAGTGGTATAACATAGTTTCATCTCGAAATAATTTTTTTTTGTACAATGTCTTCTTAGTAAGAGAAAAAAATAACTCCGGGTTTTGATATGCAGATGACAAAATAACCAGTTTAAACTGGCTTTAACAAGAGTTAAGATGTCACTCTTTCTAAACATAGATTTATTCGTTCACTTAAGAAAAAAAAAAAAAAAAAAATTGGTCTTTTAATTTATCTAGTTACTTTATGGGTGCATCTTGTACTATTAATAATAAGACTAATAACACTGACAGTAATAAAATTCTCCTGGTCCTTGAAATTTGAGTTTAATAAAAACGCAGAATGTCCCAAACTAGAATACTTAAAAACATTTTTTTAAATGTGGAATTCCATCAAAATAAAAATTTTGTTTTGCGGTGGGAGTAAAAAGTGTTTACCCACAAGTATTTGCTCATTTGAATTAAAAAATCAAAATATATTCATTAATAATGAGGAGAATTTATGTAAGCTAAGAAATGAAAAAAAAAAACTGATTTTCATGAGATGATTAGGCCAAAATAAAATCTAGCAGATATAAATCAGGAACTGCCCCCCCCCAAAAAAAAAATCTAGCAGAAAATACAAATAAATTGCTTCCCCTTCTTTTAAGAAAATAATTCTCACTGTTGCCATCTAATAAAATTAAATCTTCACCACATAAACAAAATTAATCAGCATCATTGATCTTCTATTTTTGATAGAGATAATTAATGTACTGGGAGTTCGACAAAAGTTCTGTTACAGAGGTGTAAAATTTTTTATATCATAAACGTTTATAAAACTTGTTATAATTTTAAAAAAATCAAAATACTATTAAAATGTACTTTATATATATATATTTTAAGTGGTTTACTTTATTACATTAATAAATATAACATTATAATTTAGATAGTAATTAAAAAAGTATTATGCTACGTTGGATGACCATAGGTTCCTATTCCCATAAGACCTACAACATCTAGTACGTCAAATGCTAATAATTATAAAATTTGATATTCAAAACTCGTTTATCGCGTTTCGTTTTCTTTACTACTTGAAACTATTTAAATTGAGTACCATTTTCGCAAGCGAATATATGTCAGTTCACATACATTATTAGCAAGAAATTATTTTGAGATAATTATGTTTGGATATCGATTACTTACCGAATGTTAAGAACTGGAATTCTTCTTTTAATTTTTATAATCTTGTAAGGTATGGTATTTTTCGAAGCAATCTCCAATGTGAAGACCTGGTTTTCGAGTGCAAGTATCGCAATAGGTACGTACTTCTCGCCTTCCGCCTTGGATTTTCCTGTTGGAACACACCGCACAGTCCTTTTTTTTTGGTCCCCATCGAATTATATGCAGCTTATTATTTAACCTTTCTTCTGATCCTTCTTCTATATGTGAAGTCAAAGAGCGCGTGCGAAATGTGTTATCTCGCCGAAAATTATATACCAGATTGTGAACTAGTAATTTAACGAATTTCAAATGTGTTAATGGTTTTTCCTTGCTCTTTGCTTTGGTCGTTTTGTATAATATGTATGAATTAAATGCGCACATATTCACACCCCAGAAGAAAAATTTTCTCCAGTATTTCAAAGATTTTCTCAAAAAACAGTAGGTTGCTGCATACTGGCCGATGCGATCAACGGCTCGCATTTTTGCTGTGTAATTTATTACTACTTGGGGCTTCTGCATACATATTGTCCCACCTCGTACCTTCTTTTTGATGGTCTTCATTTCAGCTGAACCGCAAGTAGTAAGAAGAGTCACGATTTCTTTCTCCTTCCAGGCAAGTAATAACATATTATTTCTCCTATATGCTACCATATTGTTTTCAGAAAATTTAGGCTCTTTAATTGTTGATGGTAAATACCGCCTGTTTGTTTTTATTGTACCAGTCAGATGGCATTTCATTTTCAAGAGTTCTTCTGCAAGAGGTATACTTGTAAAGTATTTATCAGTATATAAGTGATAACCTTCAGCATTTGAATTGTTATCCAGTAATTTTTTAATAAAATGCAAAGGAATTCGAGAACTGACTGGAAGTTCTGGTTTGATATTATCCTCAGTTGTTACACTGCCATAATAGGGTAAAATGGAATAAACATATCCTGTTTCTGCATCAGTCACCACAAAAATTCTCATACCACGATTAGTAGGTTTGTTTGGGTTATGTGGCATAAAGGTCATTTTTCCTGTACATTTTATCACGGCTTCGTTGACGCAAATATCTTTACCAGGCATAAAGTGTTCCATAAATTTTGAGTCTATGTATTGCAGAAAACTATTACATTTCTGAACAGGATTCGTTATATTTCTACCTTCGATATTTTCGGTTTTTAAATGCAACATCCAAAATATCTGCTGAAATCTGCCTCTAGTAAAAACATCAGAAAAAAATGGAATTCTGCTGGTGTAGTTGGTTGACCAATATTCCTGTATATCAGCCAGCGGCATTGTTCCCATGTTCAGAATAACACCAAGGAACGCTAAAAATTCTTCATGTGTCACATCTTCCCACGAATGCCAAATTGATCTCTTAGATAGATGCTTTTGTCCTATCTTTCTCTTTGCATATTCATTAGTCTCTTTAACTATACCGTCTATTAACACATCAGTAAAATATAACTTGAAAAAGTCTATCGGTTCTGTTAAATTCTCTGAAATCTGCGGTCCAGGTGTTCGTGGAAAAGTCGTAAAATAGATCATGAAGGGTACATCATCATCATCTGCAACCTCCTCCCATTTACCACTTACGCTCTCTATTTCTTCTGAATGCCATTCTTTTTCACTTTCATCATCCTCAGAAAAATTCTCGATTTTCATTATCTTTCTCCGTTTAGGAAGAACTGTATCGCGATCAGCGGTATCACTTTCATAGCTGGACTCTGTACCGTCATCACTACTCGCACTATCATCATTCATTTCAAACTGGAAGTCATCATCGCTACTCTCCATTGCACTAATAAAACTCTCGCTACACTTTTCGGCCATTTCGAGAAATTAAATAATGTCGCAAACTTAACAGCAGATGCAGGAATGCATAAATATACGAGTAGACGTTCTTAAAACTGCATCACGTTAAAGTGGACAAACGAGTATGCAGAAAAGCTGCAGCCGCGTATCCTTCTAGCGCGAGTAGAATAGCTGATAAGCGTTTCTAGCCTTTGCACTCTAAGGCGCCACAGCGGCGACAACCGGAAGCTCTCTAAATAATCAGCAGCGCCACTGCGGAGCCACATTCGATTTAGTCGGCTGCTGACGTCTGTAACAGCATTCGTGTTATTTTCAAGCTCCGCGGTATTTATTTACACTCAACTCTTAATTAACCTAAAGAGAATTAACTGGGCTGATTATTTAAAGCTAAATTTGTTTATTGCGGAAAGGTGAAAATCATCTGCGGGTGGCAAAGAAAAATGCATGATAGCAAATGGTATCATAGTAGTTGGGTGTTATTTTAATCTGTAATGGTATATTATTTAATTACATGTAATCTGAAATACATAAATATTGCACAATAAAAACAAAAAGTTGAAACCACACTTTTTTAAGCAAGTTTGAACTCCATGACATTGTTCAAGTTCTTTCACACATATTACGCTTTAATGATATTTATAAGTTAGTTTCTTCATTTCTAACGGTTTAGTTTATTTTAATTACGGCAAAGCACTCGAGGGCTGTATGCCTGCGAGAAGGGATGCCTTCGTGCAGAACGTTTTAAGAAAATTCGCTCGTATACACGTTACACATGCGGAAACTCAGCATGTTCGCCTGGATTCGAACCCCGGACAGACTAACAGTGTTCAGCGACTTTAAACCTCGGCGGCTAGTTGAGCTTTCATTTCTAATTATATTTGCTCTTCCATTATTTAAAGTGTGTTCCTTTCGTTCTGAATACTGATTTAATTTATACATAAGCAAACGAACATGTTATGCAGATTAAACTGCTTAGAAATACAACTAAATTTTTAATAATATTTTAAAATTAATAATAACATCGATTATTCCTCTTTCCTGTGCTTCTTTTTAATTGTCCTCCCTGCGTTTCAGTTAACCGTAAAGTACCTCGGTAGATCAGACGTTGAATTGTACTTTGCTGATCTTCCTCATGACAGAGTAAAATCACAATAAACATAATAAAAATAATAAATAAAATAAAACACGGTGAGTGACATTCTTTAATTTGATGATGGAAGTAATAACCTGATTTTACAACATTGTTGATATGATCGAAATTATTCCATAAAAAATACTCTAGGCTCAGTAAATTGTCTCAGTTTTAAACTTCACAGTTCTGATTATTTAAGAAAGGCTGATAACGTTAAATACTTAAAATGCAGCAAAATGTTTGACTGAAAATAAAAGTAATAAGATTTGGCTTGAAAGTTAAATCTTAGTTACCTACTTGAAGATTACAGTATTCACTAAAATGTTATAAAACTAAAATAAAATAGGAAGTCAAACAGCTTCTTGGAAGATTTTAATTTTCACTCTTATAAAAACTGTCAGCCAACGACTACCAGAAAATCCATTTTCCTGCGTGTTACAAAAAACACAAGTGGCAAAAAACAAAATGGTGCTACTTATATATACATATATTTGTTTTTAATTAAAAAAGTTTCATACTTTTCATCTTCTACGGCGCTATTTTCCTTTTTAATACAGTTTACTCATTTAAGGATTATCATTATTATTATTATTATTGCTATTTGCAGAAAATCAATAATGATATAAAGAAACAGCACGGCCTCACTGTCAACATTTTAGAATTTTTGTATTATTATTATTCTATTCATTATTTCCATACCAAGAACCGTGGCTGTTTTCCTTGTAAATAAAAACGCACTGCGGGAAGCAAATGGTTTTTCTTATAATCTAAGTAATCTAGGTAATTTATTTATCTAGGTATTTATTTCACATGATAACTTCGATTATGAAAGATCTTTGCGGCACGCATTTATTATCTCTCGTTGGCATGACTTCCTTTATAGGGCAAAATTCTTTTATTTTAATATTAACATTGTCTTTCTTTTTTTTTTTTTTTTTTTTTTTTTACCTGCGGTGGTTTCTCTTTAGGTGTGGTGTGGTGGTGTATTTAATTATGGCAAAGCACACTAGGGCTATCTGCCTAAGAGGAGGGATGCCTTTCGTGGAGGACTTTCTAAGGGAAACTGGCTCGTATACACGTTACACATGGGAAAAACCACGAAAACACCCATGCAGCCAGCCCGTTCGCGGGATTCGAACCTCGGACCGAACTACCAGTGTTCAGCGACTTTACCGCTCGGCCGCTGGTGGGCCTGGTTTCTCTTTAAATTACACCATATACAAAACATATTATAATTTGACAGAGATGGATTATAATTGCATTACGATGTATTTAAGGTACAAATAAAAACATAATTTATATTTTGCTTTTTATAAATTATATAGACAACATAATATTCTATAGTTGTTAAATAAAATAGTTTTTTAATAATAATTTCAAATTATCTGCATTTGCTTCTTCTGGTAACATCTTTTCAATTCTTCCTACGAAAACTAATTTTTTTTTGGGGGGGGGCCTCGTTTTCAAAATTAGGTATTAGTATAAATGATTTTTATTGTATTATATTCTCTAAACGTAAGCAACTATACCGTCTTTATCATATGCTTAGACCACTTAGTATGATAAAATGTTGACTGACAACAATAAAGTTCTGTAATTGAAGTTCTCGACTTTGAACTGTTTTTTAAGTCACCAAATATGTCGGTATTTTAATAGAATGGATATCATTCATCTCTTTATCAAAGACCTTGGGAAATGTTATGGACAGCTTATTTATCACTTTAACGCTATTAAGGTATCGAACAATAAAGGTGATTCACAGATAACGTATATAAGCAACAGAAGTGGTGACAGATAAACGTAAACTTCGAATTCCAAGAAGAAGCTTTTAATGTATTTTTAATTTATTGCGTAAAAAATAATTTTTTAATCTAAATTTATTTATTAAAATAAACGAGTTTTAAATTTTGCTAATTTTTATATAAAGTTTAGTAAAAAGAATGCAAAATTATAATCTGATTAATTATCAGTTTAAAAATACGAAGTATCTCTTATCGGCAAAGTATAAAATTGGGCATTCTATAGAATACCTAGGTACTTTATAGAAAGCTAACAACTGGCCGGCAATGTATGAAACGATTAAACATTCCATAAAATGCCAAATCACAAATCGCCAAATATGAAATACATCGGGTAAGTATGAAATACATCTCCGATTCAAAGGCCTCTCTGGTCAGTTACAATTGTCAGTCCGCAGTGGAAGTGGCCAAGGATTCGTCAAGTGTATCGCAAAACAATGTGTCAAAATATGAAATGTCTTTTCGTCAAAAAAGTGATGAAGTGTAATTTAAAATGTCATTCAGGCCTACCATTTTGCAACAAGTTAAATTTAATTATTATTTTTTATGAAAAAAATTACATTTTTTATATTTCTTTTTTTTAAATTTAAGACCCTGTTTAACTTTTTATATGAAATAAAATTAATTGATATTCAAAACGATATTATTACTTTTCTTGGTGCAAAGTACATGTTCATATTTTATTCTTTAATTAGAAAGATATAAATTTTGTTTGGAAATTTTTTATTTTTTTACGTATTTTGAATAAAAGTTTTTTAATGGCAGTCTTTCATTATTTTTTCAAAATAACATTTGTATTTTTGAGAAATGAACGCCCTTTAAATAATATCCTTATCATGACCTTTTTTTCATATTTTGACTAAAGAGCATTTGTCATTCTATAGAATGCCTAGGTACAAAATGCCTAAGCAAAGTATATAATTATTCTAATATTTCATACTTTGCCTTAAAATGCCAAGGTATTCTGTAGAATGGCGGCACTTCATACTTTGCCGGTAATATATCCATTAAAAAATGAAAATCGAATTTCTTTATATTTCTCATACGCACGTATGATATGAAAATAAACAAAAATTATATCCACATTTCTAATTCTAAGAGTCGAATATTCCTAAAGTACAAACTAGCAAGAAAACATACGTATCTTCTCTCTTGAAATAAAAATAATCCAAAAATGCTCCCAACAATCTGAAAGCTTTCAGATTTTATATTACGTCCAAAAAGGGCGTTTTACGTTTTGTGCGTTACCTTTATTTATTAAATATCATGTTCTTCGCACTTAAACCACATAAAATTCAATTCAACAGCAATATCATAAAATATTTAAAAACAGCATATCTTTAGAATTTCCGATGCACAGTCTCGCGAGCTGGAGGGTTTTTTTTTTTTTTTTTTTTTTTTTTTTTTTTTTTTTTTACAGTGTAGGCTTTGAAATCGTTCAGTTTGTTAATCAAAAATTCGTTACAATTTTATAAAATTTGAAATAGATAATAAAACCAATTCGAAATTCAAAATTCGGGCTTCCAAGTGTCCATGTTCGGTTGGAAGACTACGTTATTCAAAATTTGATGGTTCTAGGTACAGCAGTTTTTTTTTTTCACAACGCGAGAAACATTCACGTAATCATGCAGATTCTTTATTATTTAGTTTCTTTAAATATAACACATGGCAATAATATTTGGTGGCAACAGTTTGAGAAGGGAATCGATGCAAAATGCAATTTTGAAATTAATAGCCCTTCTGGTTTAACGCCCTTTTGGTCTAATAAGTACGATTGCGAATTTGATTTCTGCAAAATTTTATTAGGATTGTCATAAGGTTTATTTCTATTGCAGACGATGATGTACGTGTGGACTGTAGAAGACTAAGGAATTCTGTAATACCAGTGGCTCACACTTTTTTTCGGTCATTTGTGTTTTTAACTTTATTTACAAGTATCATTTACTAAATAGTGAATAACTTCCTAATTACTAATCATTTACTAAATAGTGAATAACTTACTAAATAGTGAAATAACTTCCTTTTTCTTTTACATATACTATTGATAACCTTTTTTAAAGCCTGCTTGTTTTGAAAAACAATTAAAACGTTTCGGGTAAAAATCTAATTTATTCAATAAATTCTGAAAATGAATTCACATAAGTATTTGGACACTTTGAACATGCAATTTATATTTAGTAAAATATGAAAATGCTGGCACATTCAGTATTTCTTT